GATCGTTAAGAGAAGAATCCTTTAAAGCTGAAACTTGTTTGCGTTTACACTTATTATTGTGCAAAAATGAGTTGATAGCTCAGTTCCCAAGTCTTCTTTGCATTCCTTTGATTTTCTTCAAAAAAAGATTCAYAATGATTTCTTTTACTTGTTCGTATAAGAGAAACTATTTTGTTCCTATAGTAAAGATATCGGTCTTTATTTCCAGACATTAATAACTGATCTTTAATCCTTATAGACTCACGAATTCCCTCGGTTATCCATGGCTTGTTTAGCTTTTTAATATCTCGCTTACTTAGCTTTTTCAGAGGAGCAACTTTGTTGACAATATTGTTTATTTTTCGATAAAGAGAGGAGAAGATTTTGTCAACGTTATTTTCTGAGAAGCACGCTGTGAGATCAGTTTCAGAAATTTCTTTCACAAATTCACTTTCAGACGATTTTGAAAAGCGTCTAACTTTTTGGCGGTATGTTTTATTGGTTCCTTTGCCAGAAGGAATGATGCAAAATTGTGTGCAAAAAAGGTGATGATGATGAAGATTAACGTTCTTTACCACTCAAACGTGATCCAGAATTTGAATGACGTTTTTAATAGAAGAATATGATGCGACATKTTTTCAATCCTACATGACTGCCATTAAGTAACGGTAACATAGTTCTAGATATTGTTTAGATTTAGCTTATTTCACATTTGTTTATTTGATATTTTTGTGCAGGCTGTGCCCCTTCAAGGTACATTGCACCAACTTCCACAAAACGCACAATATTTTCATACCCATCCCACAATCAAGACATTAAGGCATTACCGAGCGTGGTCAAGCATCCTCAGTGCCAGTTCCTTTACGTTCCTAGCTCCACTGGTCATTGCAAGGTAGGGACTCGACCCACGACGTATCGCACGAAAGTCCGATTCTCAACCAACTGAGCCAAACGGGAGGCGGTTAAGTTTTTCTACCAGTTCTTAACTCCTGCGTAGAAAGGTTGTGCTCGAAAGACGCCCGCGAACGTCCCTAATCCTGACTTTACTGTGCATAAATAGAGTATATTACATGGGCGCGCGGAGATACGTTCACGATATGATACGAAAAACTCGCGAATAAAAACGATATCAAGCTCTTAACATGTGATTATTTGTTTATTATGCATTTAGGGTCGATTTTGATTGGTCAAAACTAAAATATGTCGCGAGAATTTATTGGACAGTTTTACCGTGAAGTGTCTATCACTTCACTGAATATATGGTTTTTATTCACGGCTTTATTACACGAATATCGACCCTAAATTTGATAAAAGTGTTTAGCATATACCAACTTGTGTACTTTCTAAGAACGCGCGCGCTCATTAGTTAATATTGGAGGCGAATATTGTACGATAAGTTCACCTCTGAATCTCGGAATATTGAGTCGGCAACAAAATTGCATCTGCCGGCAATCGTTTTGCTACAATTACYGATGAGGAAATTGAAAAAATGAAAGTAAATGCCATTCCTATCAATACTAAAAAGGCACATGCAGGGGCGGCGGAAGCTGAAAAATTTTGGGGGGGCACTCCAACATTTCACGGTACCTTGAAATGACCCCCCCCCTCCCTGTTTAGCTTGATTACAAACGTGTATGTGTGATATTTCAATCAGTAACATTTTGCGCGCATTAAACCACTTGCAATTGTGCTGAGAGACACAAAAATGATGCAAGTCGTCGCTAGATATATCGTATATTTTTTAGATACAGAAAATTATGTAATATCAAAATAATAAAAAATGGTAATCATAACCAAATCTCATGCGTTTTTTTTTTGTGAGAGGCATTATATTCTGGGGGGGCCAGGCCCCCCCAAAATCTAGTGGGGGGGCCAGTGCCCCCCCGGCCCCCCCGCTTCCGCCGCCCCTGACATGGCCTAAAAGTTTCGCTAAAAGTTTTGCTAAAAGTTTTGCTAAAAGTTTTGCGTGAATTAGTCACGCAAACTAAAAGTTTGTGTTTGTTTGTTTTTATTGAATTATGGCATATAAAAATAAGTTACTCTGTACACAAGTTGGTATATCTTCCAGTTCAAACGTGTTTGAAACCAAAACTCCAGGAACTATACATTCGTCTTACGTAAGAAAGAATTCAATTCCCAAGTGCAAATGGTTTCTTTGTTCTACCATACCACAGGCCGTACAAGCTGTATTATGTATTATAATACACTCTACAAAACTACTCGATTCTGATTGGACAAGAGGAGCACAATTTAAATCCCTGTATTATGGACAAAAAATCGCACATTCTTCTCGTACAATTCGGAATTCATAGATACTCATGTCTTCAAAGTTCTCAAATTGAACTCAGCTAAAGGCTCGTCCAATATTGATAACTTTAAAAACATCACTCGTACCTATAAATGCCGAATTGTACTCGAGATCGTGCGATTTCCTAGTACTTAATTATTTGATGATGTGCAAAACCTCTATGGACGGATGTGTAAAAACCAGAACTCATGGAACGACCTGCACTTTGAAACTTGAAATCTTTTTTTAATCTTTCTTGTTAACAATTTTTTCTTCTTGTGGTTGTAAAGTATGAAAAAAATAAAAAATGCCTACGAGTTAACAATAGTGGATTTCCTTTTGGGAGTAGATCTTTCAGTCCCTCAGTCCCTTGATTCTATTCCTGATTTTCCGTCTGTGAAATCGACCTTTGTACTCTCCATGGACTATGAGGAGAGAGGTGTGTTGTGGGTTAGTCATTCAACGATCGCCAAGATCCTACTAAAACACAGTTTTCAAACTGAAACGATTCGCTCCCTATCATGGCAGAAGCTAGGCTTGCCGTGGGCTTCCAGTTACAAGTCACTGAGGAAGGAATACATCTTCATTTCGACAGCGATGCTTTTAAATTCGTCCTTCGCGCCATGGCAAAAACAGCCAAAAGACGCGTAAACGATCTGAAACATGCTATTTTGAAGCGTTCCTTCCCGGCTACACCAGCTTCATGGTTCGTTCTAGTTGCTGCATTGAGTGCTGCCAGGTATTCTGAGCATCAAGCGACATTAGGAGTCCTCAGAAAGCTAGAAGGAGGGATTCCAGGGTAAGATAAGCATAATTCTATTTCAACTGTTTCATATTTTCATCGGGATTTTTAACTGCATGAAAATAAATATTTATCGCGTGTTTACTTCGGAGTAGACTTTGACCCTCTTYGAAAATACTGGAATCTCAAACATTTCTCTCTCGAAAACTCGTTTCTTTTAAAATTTAATGTGGATTGCTTTTTGTAAACTTTGTTTTTGTTTTTGTTAAACTTATTGTATTTTGTACGAAATGCCCTTTTCCCTTTTTGTTGATATCATAACTACTGGTGATCGAGTCGCACAGAAACTATCAATTCACGTGGCGCGAATAAAAGACTTTACTCTCATTACTAAAAAAATAATCTCAATAATAAATGTCTAAACATCCACTGTTTTCTATATGGTCTTAGCTAAAATAATTTTAAATTGATTGTCTAAAAATTCTGTAGATTAACGTATTAAGTTCTTTACTAGCTAGCTATTCGGTTCGATGATGCTGTGAAAATAATGCCTCAAAAATACTCCTTTTTCTCGTGAATCGTTACAGAATATCATTAAATAATTATTGAAAATAATTCTAGGCATAAGCGTTGATGAAAATAATTTTGTTGAAAGAAATACATGTTTCCAGAGACATTTTTTCGTTAGTTGTACTTGCAGTTTCCTRAATTATGAGCTTACCACTTTTACTGCAGTTGGCAATTAATAGAAACCTCGAAATTTTAAGCTAAATTTTCTCTCTTTAATACCAACATAAAAAACAATGGTGATTTTTGAATATAAACAAATATAACAAGTTTATTTTTTCAGAAGTTTTAAAATTTTCATGTAATCATTAATGCAAGGTAAAGACCTATAATTAGCTACCRTATATATGCTCTCCCGCCCCCCTAAGGTATATTGTTCTCATCATAGCACAATACCAACTCTATTAACTGTTTTACAAATTTGGAGAAAGAATGCCAATAACATTTATAATATGACTGACCTAAAAGTTAATTCAAGGGAAAATTTAAAAAGTTTTGAGATGGGAAATTGTGCTTGTAGTCAAARCTTCACATTTCACTTTCACGAGTTAAACTCAACACAGGTAGCCCAAGCTCTGTGTCTCACATATTTTTAACGCAATGTAATGAAAAGACTTAGTAACTGAACAATGGCACCCTACCCAGTGCAAAGTAAATTTTATCTTGTTTGTTGATTGGGAGAAAATCACAATAGGCAGACCAAGTCATTTTACCCACTTCCCTCCGGAAGGTCTAAATTTGAAATCGTTCYCAGGCCTAACCTTGTTATCACTGCTTTAATGGCATTTTTCGTAGTCGTTGTGGTGAAAGTTGGGAGGGTGCACAGCTTAGTCCCATAAGCTGGCTCCAACATATTGGTATGGAATGATTGCCGAACAACCCCTTAATGGCTCTATAAGTGATTGTTTCATGTCAGTCTCAATGCTCAAGAAATCCATAGGAAATTCACAGACTCATTTTCTCATTTTCATGCTGAAGTTTTGACTTTTAAGAAAATAATGTGAGCCATTCAGTTGAATGTATATGTTTTTCATTTTTTCTATGTACAATTTTAAGAATTTATTGTCATATTTTTTCATATTTATTTAATATCTAAGGATCTTATGAGACCCCTACTCACAGTCGCAATGAAAATTCAATAATGTTCAGACATACTGAAGAAAAGGGCAGCACTGACAGCATGTAATTTATTCTTTACATATACAGATTATTAACTAATTTTGGGTGGCTGGTGACATTTGCCAGCAAGTCATTCTAGTATTGTGTTCTCATTTTTTTACAGCCATACTGCTGCTACATACACAATTACATAAACTTGATTGAAGTGTCAATAGATTTAGCTGTAAAAACACTATTTGGGATACTATTTGTTTGGCACCCACCACCTAAGTAATCAGCTTTTGTTTCACCCTCCCTCTTCCCATATGGACTCATATTCACTTCAGTCCCCTCTTTACTTGCTATTAATTTTTATAATATTTTGATATCTTTTTTAATTGTTTTAATCTCCAGTGCCCATAATCTCAACCAATCAACTGTCATTGCTCTGGCTGTGCTGTTTGTTGCTACAGTATTATGGCTATTGATAGGGAACATTCTGCAGTTTACTTTGCGTCAGCTTCTAAAATACCGGAAATTTCTTTATGAGCCAAGAGGGTAAGAGTAATAGTAACAGATTTAATTGATTTTTAATGATAACCTGAATCAATCATTAAAGCCAATATTAATATATTTTTTTCTTACTTCCAGTAAAATATCATTTAAGACAAGGTGTTGGTGGGTAAGTATGTTTATTTTTGAAAGTAAGCTATATATCTGCATGTATATCTTGGGTGCTTACCAATAGCAGAAAAATCTGGTTAGGTCATGACTAAGGTTTAAAGTTAAGGGTTTTTTCAGACAGATTTCATTACCTATGATTGCATAAGCAAAGGACTGAAACCGATATGTCATTAAATGGTAAGAGAAATTCCGTTCCAATCATTCTGGCTGGAAATTCGAACAGCCTAGAGGTTATCCAAAATTCCACAAATGACCGTACCATTATTCTGTCTGAAATCCCGAATTTTTTTTGATAAATGGTAATAAGCACCCTAGATATATTCTTTAGGTTTGAACATTTGTGATGCCTCTCATGAATGTGTAGCACTAGATACTAAGGGGGAAAATAAAGTGACCAATGAGAAATAAGCATATGAAGAGATAAAAGGAAATAAAAGGATCAAAAAAACAATAATTGGGAAATGGAAAGCGAAGCATGAGAAATCAGYGTATGTAAAAACAAAAGGAAACAAAAAGGATAGAAAAAACAATAAAGTGAGAAATTCACCCACTTGGCACCATCAGTCCCCTTGGGATGAATGAACACTTCACTTTTAATTAGTCATGCTTCGCTTTCCATTTCTCACTTATTGTTTTTTTGATCCTTTTATTTCCTTTTATCTCTTTATATGCTTATTTCTCATTGGTCACTTTATTTTCCACCTTAGTATTTATTCACCCCTTCTCATCTTTTCTTTCCACTTACTCTGACGAAGGACTAATGTCCGAAACATCAGTTTCACAAAGCTTTTTACGGTGATCCAATCTATCTACAAGTTCCTACTGTTTTATTCAGAAACACTGACGCAGTCCACACTAGTTCTACTAGTTATCACCACTCATTTTTAAAAGCGTTGCATTATGCCTATTACGTTGATTTATGTTACTACTTATCTTGGCCTTTAAGGGTCACGGCTCCTACATTTGTTGCCTGACATTTTCACATGAAATTATTTATTTGCACTGTGAACTAATCAAATATTTTATTTGCAAATATACGGCAGCACTCATTAACCTTCAGTTAGACTAGTTTTAATAATTATGTTAGCTGATATAAGCAAAAAGTTGGAGGGGGGCCTGGGCTATCAAGATGTTATGGTATCACTCATCTTATTTTTAACTATAACAGACCCTTGTTAAACTCTTTGGAGGCCGTAATCCATCTTTGTTCAGTTATGAGAATTCTATGCCTTACCTCCCAGTACCTGACTTGGATCAAACTGTTCAAAAGGTATGATGTAAGAGATCTTTCTTGACAACTACTGTTAAAAATTTGTTACCTAGTATCTGTAAATATGTTCACTCAGGAAAACACTGCAAATGTGCCACCTCTGACTGGTTTATTTGTGTTTTGATAATATTAATAATAATAATTTGATAACGACAACAACAACAACAACAGCAACTACAATAACAAAAACAATGTCTTTATTACTTACAGTAGAAAAAATACATATTTGTAGTTACAAAAAGAAAAAGGAAAACTATAATATCTATAATGTATAATCTAAAATTCAAAAAATGAAATTGTATGCTTTAAATTTTTCCTTTGATTGTGGTTCACAATTAACCATCTTTCTCAATGTTTAAACCACTGCAGTTATCAGGCTGCTCTTTTTAATACTGTGACACATCCTAGGTAGCTTACATTTAAAAATGATCTTAATTTGCATATTGATTTAATATTATTTTCATAGTACTTGGAATCTGTTGAACACCTTATGGATTCTGAGAAGTACCAAAGAATGGAAATGTTGGCAAAAGAATTTAAGGTTAGGCAGATTGACAATTATTGCACCTGACTTTTATTTGCTCATCCTTTTTTTAATGGGGCTTAGTCGGACTTCAGTTAGACTATTTTAATTTCGAATTCTTTGCTTGAGTTTCAATTTAAAGCTACATGTCACCTATTGTCTTGATTTAGGATACAGTTGGATCAAGACTGCAAAGATATCTTGTCCTGAAATCATGGTGGTCAACCAACTATGTGAGTACAACTTAGAATCATTCTTAAACTTTTAATTCTCTCTTAATAATATGTACAGTCAATTGCAATTATTAAAGACCTGTGAAAATGGGAAGGACTGTTGGAGACAAATAATTTTGAAATTAGTTACAAATTATTGCAATATTGTTTTCTTAATTGAATCAAACACTACTTTAAGATTGAAAGTGAATATGTATGAAGCTATCAGTAGAATGGCCAAAATTGCATAAAAATATAGTCATACATTTAGAATTTAATCCAATTAAATATTAATGAAACATTTTCAGGTTACTGATTGGTGGGAGCAGTATGTCTACCTGCGATCAAGGTCTCCATTAATGATCAACAGCAACTACTATGGAGTGGTAAGTACATTATTACTGAACCCATTTGCTCGTGTGTTAACAGGCAAATCTAACATGGTTTCCCAGGCTAAGAAATGTAAAAATTAAGTGCACAAAATGTTGTCGATCAGGGGAAGTTAATATGAATTGTTTAGATTGCTGACTAATTTCAACTGCATGTATATATATGAGCAGGGTTGGAGGAAGGGTACTAATAATATTATGTACACTATACCACTGTACAGATATTAAAATCATTCATATACATACAGTGCATATTTACATCTTTTTCGAGATTTTTTCCCCTGAAAGTGCATAAGCCCTACAGATGCCTTCATGATTTGAAAGCACTTATAAGATAGAAGATCTTAAAATAAGAATGTCATTTACTATTCTTTCTCTTTTGGCTGCTGAAATATTCAATATCATTATACTATAGTAAGGATAAAACGTGTGCGCTGATTGGTCGAAAACTGTGCTTTATTAATGAACGGAGCACAGTGCTGATACCATCCACGCACATGAAGTGCTACTAGATTTTGTGACCATCTTTCTTTTTTAGTAAATAAATTCAATACCAAAATCAAATTAGTGACTATATGATAAAATGAATAAAACAGCTTTTTTCTATGCTCCGTTTGGTGATAAAGCACTTAAGAAGTGCCATAAGGGCACCATTCATCAGAGGAAAAATTAATAGTAATATTTTTGATGGACAATTACTGAGAAAAAATTTGTTTATTTTTCCCTTAAACTTTTTACATATTAGATGCACTAAGTTATTCATCCACTGAACTACTGTATATGTTGGACTGGATTATTCGAAGCGGCCCTTTGTTTCAAGCATAGTTAAATTTTTGGCTTCAACCATATGGTGGTCAAAAATGTAAAAACACAAATTTCCATGATAAACAAACTACCTGTCCTTGCTTGCCATCTTCCATTAGTTGTTGAAACTGCATAAAACCGCTGACATTTTGCAGGCAAATTTTMGAGCGTGCATAGGCTGTGATTGTCCAATCTTTCAATAGCTGATGAATGAGGTTGTCATTTCGTAATTTCTATATTGAATATCTCAGCAATGAAGAGAAATATCAAAGAATATTAAATGCTATTATGATTMATTTTATGAGAGCTTTCAAATCATGAGGATGCACTTTAAGTTTAAAAGCCTGATCCCTAGCCGGTTTATTTCCCCTTAAMTTATTTCTAAATTAAATCAAATTATTTATTTTGTGTTCTCATCGTATTGCATGAAAATGATAGTTTGGAACCCTTTTCCAGCTTATTGAAACTATTGTTGGTGTCCCCTAGTGTTTGATGCTAAATTGTTAGCCACARTCTTCTATAATGGTTCATTAACCCTTTAGCGCCCATAGGCCACTCCAGTGGCCGAGACCAACAACAAAAATATAAGCGACRTAATTGGCTACTGAAAAGATTTTTCTATCTTCATACATTTAAGTAWCTTCCTTTTTATTACCATAGACTTGGAGATTAAGCATCTGTGTAGCTCTCAATTTTTTTGTGTGATCATTGATAAACATAGATTTCCATATAACTAAATCCAAATAAACCATGGTGGTGATTATGGATGACGACTCCATTTTGGCTTGGGCACAGAACCCACCCCATTGATTTCAGGCCTGGGCACTAAAGGGTTAATGATTAAGAAATTTAAAATACTAAGTATGATTTTACAGGATAGTGTCAATCATCCAACCAAGGTCCAAAGTGCCCGTGCTGSCAACTTCATTCAGGCTTTATTTTACTACCGAAAGCAGATCCTAAAAGAGAAATTGGAACCTGTAAGTAGAGAAATTTAATGCCATCAAAGCTGCTACAAAAAAAAGGTGTTGAAAGGCAAGGAAGCTATTGAAAATAGGATGGTACATGTGTAAAAAAGTGTACTAAATCTTACCATCTTTGGGGTCTTGGGCTTAATTACTCAGCAGATTGAATTGGTTGTGATGCTGCCTTGAATCAAGGGTTTTTCTCCACCTAATTTTCAATTATGTAAGTTAGTTGACAGCAGCAACTAACGTCAACGTGTAATAAGAATGAACATTATTTTTTCATGTACTACGTTCTATAAGAATTTCTTATTTTTATTTCTCTCAATTACTTTGTCTTAGCAATTTGCACTTGGTATTGTCCCTGTGTGCTCATTTCAATTTAGTAGGAATTTTGGCACCACAAGAATTCCTGGCAAAGAACAAGGTATTTCTTACATATTTTATGGGACATAATTGTT